TCACGGCTGTCTTTAGAAGAGCACTTGACGGCCGTGACCAGGAGGATTTTTCATCAGGTTCGCCTGATTCGCCAGTTGCGTCCCTTTCTGGATTGGGACTCCCTACACACAGTCACTCATGCCCTCGTCACTTCCTGCCTGGACTACTGCAATGCTCTCTACATGGGGCTCCCCTTGAAGAGCACCCGGAGGCTCCAACTGGCGCAGAGTGTGGCCGCGCGGGTGGTTATGGGAGCAACATGGCGCTCCCGTGTGACACCTCTCCTGCGCGAGCTGCACTGGCTCCCGGTGGTCTTCTGGGTGCGCTTCAAGGTTTTGGTTACCATCTTTAGAGCGCTCCATGGCTTAGGACCTGGTTATTTACGGGACCGCCTACTACCACAAGCAGCCTCCCACCGGCTGGTACGCTCTCATAGAGAGGGGCTCCTCCGGGTGCCGTCAGCTAAACAATGTCAACTGGCGGTCCCCAGGGGGAGGGCCTTCTCTGTGGGGGCACCCACTATCTGGAACGAGCTCCCCCCAGAGATACGTAGGATCCCGGATCTACGCACTTTCCGCCATGCTCTTAAGATTCTCCTATTCCAGCAAGCCGGCCTGGCCTAATTTTCTCCCCTGTTTTAAAATTCTTTTAAATCGAAATTTTAATCTGTTTTAAATTATTGGGATTTTTTAATTGTCTTGGACTAAATTATTTAATCTGGTTTTAATTATGTCTTTTAACTTTTGTATCTATGTATTTTATTTTGTGCCTGTTCACCGCCCTGAGTCCTTCGGGAGTAGGGCGGTATATAAATCTAATAAAACAAACAAACAAAACAAACAGAAACGTGCAATGAACGTTTGTGTTGCTGCAGAGAGTCTCCCCCTTTGGGGTCTGTGGGTCGGAGGGGGGCAGAAATTCTGACTCGGGGTCTGCTTCAGCCTCCTGGTGTGGGGCTTTGGGCGAAGGCTGGAGGGAAGTGCCGCTGGTGGAGAAGAGCCAGAGGGCCTCGTTCCAGTGGGACTGCCTCATGACCTGGAACTGGCTGACCATCTCAGCCCACTGAGCCTCCAGGTGCCTGTATCTGGCCTTGCACTCCTGCAGGTCTTCCCTCTGCTTGGAAAGCCTATGCTCCTAGTCCTCAGTGAGGTGCTTCTGCTGAGCCTCCTTCTCGGTCAGATCCAAATTGAACTGAGCTGTTTTGCCAACTCTTTCTCACGGTGGCTGCTTAGCTCCAACAACTGCTTCCTGTGGGGGCCCTAAGGCGCCTGGGGGGGGCAGGCAAGGAGGGGCCAGCGAGGCACCCCTCGACACGAGTGACATTGAGTTGGCCATGCGCACCTAGCCACACCCACCCAGTCGGTCAATAGGCGGATCATATTAGGTCCCTGAGGTCTGAAAGGTTGGTGACCCCTGATCTAACAAACTTTTGGTTTTGCTGGCAGATGCTATCTTTGGCGTTATGTAGAAAACTTCCCTTTGGGCGTTTTAAACATCTTCCCAATACAAGGAACAGCTGTTTAAGTGGAATGATATGTAGCCCTCGACTTAGAACAGTTCATCTAGTGACCAAAGTTACAACAATACTGGAAAAAGCAACTTATGTCTGTTTTTCACACTTAACAACGGTCGCAGTATTCCCCATAGTCACATAATCAAAATTCAGAGACTTGGCAACAGGCATATACTTATGACGGCTGGAGTGTCCCGGGGGTCACGTCAATGGGGAATCCGGATTCACTTAACAACGGTGTCCCTAATTTAACAACCACAGTGATTTTCCTTGGCGTTACGACTTCACGCAAGTCCTTCCTCAATAATTTCTGCCCTATAACAACAGTGAGGTGGTATTTGGGTCTTTCTGGAGAGGGCGAGGGCAGAAGAGGCTTTCCTGGAAGATGATTCCTTGGTTCTTGTTGGTCTACACCAGAGGTCTTCAAACTTGGCAGCTTTAAGACTGTGGACTTCAACTCCCAGAATTCTCCAGCCAGCATAGCATAGCTGGCTGGAGAATTCTGGGAGTTGAAGTCCACAAGTCTTAAAGCTGCCAAGTTTGAAGACCTCTGGTCTACACGTTGAAACTTCTCCATGTCTACTATCTATCTATCTTAATTTGGCTTCCCCAAGTTTTGGTTCAATTTGCCATGGACAAATCACAGTTCGTAGAACTCACTGGTGTGTTATGGGACAGACGAAGGCCAACCTGTCTTAAATCTAAGATTTACAAGACAACCATCTGCCCTGTTGCACTGTATGACACTGAATGCTGGGCAGCAACAACAGGGACCGAAAGCTCTCTCCATGCCATGGAAATGCAAATGCTCTGTTGGATATCGGGCATCTCCCTTCTTGACCACATCACAAATGATGCCATTCGACAACATTTTGGTGTGGCACCGATTCTGGAGAAGATGAGAGAAGGCCGACTTGGCTGGTATGAACATGTCCAGAGAGCAGCACCTTCCACTGTAGCTAAGACTTGCCTACCAAGTACCATGTTTCTCCAAAAATAAGACCTGGTCTTATTTTCTTTTGGGCTCCAAAATAAGCACTAGGGCTTATTTTCAGGGGATGTCTTATTTTTTCCCCCATGTAGTTTAAGAGTACATGGGAGGCCCACTTTTTCTGATGCCCTCCATGCCCCACACCAGCTTACCTCAGGCCCCCACAGCCAGGCTCCCCATGCCTCAATACCTGCCTTGCTTCCCTGATGTAAGCCGGTGCAGGGGGTATGGGGCGACTCCACCTCCCACCTCACCTCATGGGCATGGCACTACATACAACCAGATGGAATGGGCAGCCAGCTGGCTGTGCAGGCGCTTAAGTAGGGCTTATTTGGGGGATAGGGCTTATATTAGGCGCATGAGCAAAAAAAATGTGGTAGGTCTTATTTTCGGGATAGGTCTTATTTTCAGGGAAACACAGTAGAAGTCCATGGTGGGTGACTTCGTGGGCATCCAAAACAGAGATGGCAACACACCATTAACAAAGATATGGAAGCCGTGGGCCTGTGCCCTGGAGACACAGCTGGCCATGCAAAATGGCGTTCAATAATCCAAAAAGCAGACCCTTCACCTGCAGGAATATGCTAGGACCATGATGGCAAACCAATGGCACGCGTGCCACAGGTGGCACGCGGAGCCTTATCAGTGATCACGCGAACTCAGCTCTCCTAGAGGCCCTCAGGAGGCTGGAAACGGCCCACTTCCCGACTTCCAGTGAGACCAGAAGGCCCGTTTTTCGCTCTCTCCAGGTTCCAGAGGCTTTCTAGGAGCCTGGGGAAGGCAAAACGGTCTTCCCCACCCCCCTGGAGGCTCTCTGGAGGCCGGAAACAACCCATTTGCCAACTTCTGGTCTCACTGGTGGGAACAGAAGGCCATTTTCGCCCTCCCCAGGCTCCTAGAAAGGCTCTGGAGCCTGGGGAGAGCGAAAAACGGGCCTACTGGGCGAGCGTGGGAGGGTCACACGTGCATGCATGGGGGGGCAGGGTGCATAGAATTATGGGTGTGGACATGTGCGCGTGTGAGCCCCTTGTACTCCCCCTGCTTTTGACACATGATGGCTCAAGGTTGACTCAGCCTTCCATCCTTTCTAAGGTAGGTAAATTGAGGACCCAGTTTGTGGGGGCAATAAGCTGACTTTGTATAAAATATACAAAAGGATGAAGGCTATTGCTGAGCACATTGTAAGCCGCCTTGAGTCTTCAGAGAAGGGCGGCATATAAATCAAATTAAAAAAAAAAAAGGGTTAGCCATCACTGCGCTAGGAAGAAAAAGAAGTCACAGTTCGTAGAATGTGGAGGAAGGAAGTTGCTGGCAGATCATTTCTTTTTGGAGAAGGGCGTGCCGAAAAGATTTTTGCATCCAGGTAGAAGCTGGGATGGGCTTCCCAGGACGATCATAAATGACGAAACCTGAAGACTACGAGGATAAATACGGGAGTTGAGATCCACACATCTTAAAATCGCCAAGGTTGGGAAAGTCTTCAGTTATTAATTCTTGAGCAACCTGCTTCAAGCAACAAGATTTTGATCCTTATTTCCTGCAGAGCAGGGATTAAAATTTATTAAACAATTAAGTTAATTATGATGTCCATCACTTTGCCTTCCACTGTGGAAAAAACCAAGCCTTTTCACTAACCATAGACTATATAGTGGCAGAATATTGCTGGAGGACAAAGAGAGGAAGTGGAAAAAGATTTCCTGTTTAAGCAGCCTTTGCTCATGATCAATCCACATAATTCCCCCCCACCCCGATTATATTGGATTTACGTAGTAGGACATACCGAGGCAGACGACAACGAGTCTGCCTTCCCCTTAATCTAGCACAGAGGTCGTCAAACTTGGCAAATTTAAGACTTGTGGACTTCAACTCCCAGAATTCCTCAGCTAGTCATGCTGGCTGCGGAATTTTGGGAATTGAAGTCCCCAAGTCTTAAAGTTGCCAAGTTTGGAGACCCCTGATAGCACAAAGGAATGAAATTCATGATTATATTTACATAGCTTAACAGTATGGATCCACTGAGCTGATAAGATTCCAAATCGCATATAAATAAGAGCTGCATTTTTTTCCCCTCTCCAGCTGATAAAAACATCTCTCTGGAGCAAAGCTACAGAATTATCCAGACCCCAAAATGCCTTTAAAATGCTGCTAAATAGACTTGCAAGGGGGTTTAAATGGCATTTTTAACTACACAGTGCCACCCAGTGAATGGGGTCTGCAACTGAATAGTCAGGAGAAAAAAAAACACTTGAAATGGACTTTCTGCATTAAAGGCCACATCCAGGGGACCAAAACATCGTAAAGTAGAGAAGATGACCAGGGTAGATGGTTAAAAATAAATAAATAAAAAGCACATACTGGGAGGATCACAAAGCAAATATGGAATATAGAGGAGCGAAGATGCTTAAAATTAAAAATTATTAAATTAAAATTAAGCTCTGGGTAAATTTGTTCCTCAAATGCAAGAAAACGGCCCATTCCTGCCGTGCCAAACAATTGAAGAAAAGTACAAGGTTGAGTTGAATGTGTTAGTAAGATCATCATTTTATTTAAAAGATTGAAACGAAATGAAATGATCACTATTGTTCTGATCAAACCTTGATCCTAACGGCCACAAAACTCAGGTGTAACTTTCAGTCTGAAACAAAGCATGGATAAGTACATGCAGACATATAATCTTGGTGCTCTCTGAGCTTCTTTTGCTTTCTTGCAGACGTTTCATTACCCAACTAGGTAACATTATCAGTGCTAGTGGGGAGTGGGGTTTGCTCCCGATTTATATTCTAGCGGTTTTTTCACTACCAGTGTTGATGATTCTTTTCTTTACTGTTAATTTGTTCGGCAGTTCCTTGATTGGGGTATTGGAATACTGCTGACATGTCTCCCCTTCTCCCCCTTTTCACTAGCCATACCCAAATTGTTGGTTGCAAACAGTTTAAAAATTTGCTCGGAAACTTATAACTGTCACTAGGATCTTTCTACTAATAAGGAAAGTCCATCAAACTTCATCCATCGTTCCCACATCGTTTAGGATGTGCTCTCAGTTTTTAATAGAGATGAAGCCAATTTGAGTGCCAAAGTTTTCTCCGTCTCGGACATGTGAGTAGAACTTGTCGGGATGACAGGATGTGCAAAGAGTGAGGTTTTGCTCCGGGTCTGTTACGGAGTCGTCTTGAATGTTGATGGGTAGGATGCCTCCAGCTTCTAGGAGAACTCTGTTGTGGGGGAAGAAAACAAGAGAAAATGTTACGTTGCAGTTATTAATCACCACAAAAAAATTATGATGAAACAGCACCAGGGATATTCCCAATTGAGGAAAATGGATAATCAACATTTCCAGCAAGAATTGTTGTTGGGTTAATTTGTCGTGTTTATCATTGATATTTAGAACCTTTAGAGTTATCAACATTATCAGAGGCTCCCAAGTCCTAACATCTGAAGTCTGTAAAGTTATATTAATAGCAGAATTAGGCAACTTGCGTATTTAAAAAAGAGAGAAAAATGAAGGATTGAGGTATTAGTGTAATTAATGTGATTTTATTGCAGAGCAGTCTTCCAAAATTGGAGGGTCTATCACAGAGAGGAAGGGGCAACCTATTCTCCAATGCACCTGAAGGCAGGACAAGAAGCAAGGGATGGAAACTAATCAAGGAGAGAAGCAACCTGGAACTGAAGGAAGGAAGGAAGGAAGGAAGGAAGGAAGGAAGGAAGGAAGGAATTTCCTGATTATGAGAACAATTAACCAGTGGAACAACTTGCCTCCAGAAGTCATGGGTGCTCCATCACTGGAGGTTTTTAAGAAGAGTTTGGACAGCCATTTGTCTTGAATGGAATAGGGTCTCCTTATTGAGCTGGGGGTTGGACTAGAAGACCTCCAAGGTCCCTTCCAACACTTCTATTCTTTTATTCTAAAATGTCCACAAGGCCAGACTTACCGTGTTGCTCTTCGAATATCAACGTATGGATTGGGTGATTCAAAGCCTCTTACGCATGTTGGGTCAATCTTGTAAAACTCTTTTGCTGATTGCTTGGGTAGCGTAAAGCAACAGGGCCCCACAGATGGTCCAAGAACTACGAGGATATCCTTTACGTCCGAACCGTATGCTGTTACCATAGCGTTAACTACAGCCATCGAAACCCCTAGTAAGGTCCCTTGCCAGCCTGAAAGACAGACAAAAATAATAAGATAATTTGTTTTTTTTTAGGATTTAAATGCAAGAGGATGCATTTAAAATAGCACTGCAAATCCTAAAACTTTATACTACAAAAATGTGGAAGGACAAATAGCCTTTGCAATTACAACTGTTGCAGGGTTCTTATGGTTACGTATGATCAAAATTTGGTGTATTAAAATTAGTGGCATGTATTTAGGATATTTGCAACGTCCCGATAATTGGAATCATCATTTGCAACCTTCACAGCTGGTTTTTGACAAGCAAAATCAATGGGGGGAGGGGAGAGTTGGATCCGCTTAATGACTTAGAATTCACTGAACAACTTGCCATGATTCCCTTAACAGTGGACGTACAATCAGGCACAACGTCACAAAGCCACAGAAATTCTGATCCCAAATGCAGTCCTAAGTCAAAGACTATCCATACTGTGCAAAGAAGAACTAGCCAAAATTTCTTAGAGAGGTAGTCCTTGACTTACGATGGTTTATAGCTCTGAAAAAAGTTAGTTAGGACTGTTGTTCACACTTATGACGGTTTCAGCATCCCCGTGATCAAATTTGGACGCTTCGCAACTGACTCATATTTATGACAGTTGCCAAGTCCCGTGGTCACATGATCCCCTTTTGCTGACTTTCCAATAAGCCAAGTCAATGGGGAAGCCAGATTCACTTAACAGCGGTGTGACTAACTTCACACCTGCAGTGATTCACTTAATAACGGTGGCAAAAATGTCACAACCACAATTGAGTGGTTTCTGTTGTTTCTGTTCTGTCACAAGTTTCTGTTGTTAAGGGAAACATTCGTTAAGTGAGTTTTCTCCCATTTTATGACTTTTTTTTTTGCTATCCTTCTTGTGAAATGAAGGACTAGCTCTAATCATCCTGTAGATTTGACCAATTTCGCAGGTTTAAAACCATTAACACCTTTCTTTAAAAAGAAAAATAAATCCAGGATGACTCGGAATTTCCCAGGTGCACTGGAATTTCATGTTATGTACAGATACAGATTAACAGAGTTGGAAGGGATCTTGTAGGTCATCTAGTCTACCCCCCTGCGCAAGCAGGAGACCTTACACCATTTCTGACAGATGGCAGTCCAGTGTCTTCTTGAAAGCTTCCAGGGATGAAGCTCCCACAACTTCCGAAGGCAACTTCTGTTCCATGGGTTGATTGTTCTCACTGTCAGAAAATTCCTCCTTATTTCCAGGTTGAATTGTTCAGTTTCCTTGTCTGGCCTTCAGGTGCTTTGGAGAATAGCTTGACCCCCCTCCTCCTCTCTGTGGCAGCCCCTCAATATTGGAAGATGCTATCCTATCTCCCCTGGTCCTTCTCTTCACTAGACCAGCCATGCCCAGTTCCTGCAACTGTTCTTCGTATGTTTTAGTCTCCAGTCCCCTAATCGTCCTGGTTGCTCTTCTCTGCACTCTTTCTAGAGTCTCTACATCCTTTTTTATAGTGTGGTCACCAAAATTGGATGCAGTATTCTAGATCTGTGCCATTGCTGTACAGAAAAATGGCAATTGTGGTTATTTTTCTACTCTTATCGGTTTTCCAGTGGTCTATTTTAAACTGCTGGAGGTGATTCAATCAAGCTTTCAAAATTCGGAGAACAGAATGTGCTAGCTGTCCACGCGACTTCCCCAAAACAAAGAACCAGGAAGTAGTGAGAAAACACCGCAGGGATTAGGGATTAATCTTCACACCCTAGCAACAAAAGAAGCAGAGGGCAGAGCAATCTTCCTTTTGCAAGACAACATTTTTCTTTTTTTTTTTGCAAGCTACAATTAATACCTGAAGTCAGCATAGCTCAGAAAGAGCAAGCAAGCGTTCCGTGTATTTCTGACGTAAATGTGTTTATTTTCACTTCTTCAAATTCCCTTCCTCTTGCCTTCTGCCTAACAAACTGCGTTTCTCACAATTATTTTAAGACAATGATATAACTTGGCTATCAAACGGAGAGAACGTTTAGGCATTGTCAAGTCTGTGGGATTTCCAAATCCTTCTTTTGTGGCAAACCACTGAAGCATTCATGTAATGTCTGAGAAACTGTGTCTATGGTCATGATTGTCCCAAAGATGCTTTTTCAAGAGGCAACTGGACTTTCTGGTTTTTCTTTGAAGAGGTTTCGCTTCTCATCCCAGAAGCTTCTTCAGTTCTTCTTCAGAACTGACGAAGCAACTTGGATGAGAAGCAAAACATTTTCAAAGGAATGTCTATGGAGATTTTCAGTCCTCCAGGTCATGGTTGTCCCAAAGGTGCTTTTTTTTCAAGAGGCAACTGGACTTTCTTGGTTGTTTTCCTTGAAGAGGTTTCGCTTCTCATCCAAGAAGCTTCTTCAGTTCTGAAGAAGGAAAAAAAAACCCCAAGAAAGTCCTGTGGTCTTTTGGAAAAGCACCCTTTGGGTCTGAGAAAGGGTGACTTCAAACTAGCAAAGAGCAAAGGAGAGATCTGACTGAAAGAACCACAGCTAGTCCTCAACTTACAACAGTTTCATTGAGTGACAGTTCAAAGTTACAAGGGCATGTAGAGACTGTTCAAAGTTACAGTGGCACTGAAAAAGGTGACTTACGACCATTTTTCACACTTACAACTTTTGCAGCATCCCCAGGGTCACCCGATTATAATTCAGACACTTGGCAACTGACTCGTACTTATGACGGTTGCAGTGTCCCAGGGTCACATGATTCCCTTTTGCAACCTTCTGACCAGCAAAGTCAACTGGTCAGAATCCAGATTCACTTAACAACCGTGTTTAGCTAACTTCAGGAATGCAATGATTCACTGAACAACGGCGGCAAGAAAAATTGCAAAACGGGGTAAACCCACCCACTTCACACCTTTCACTTAGCAACATCATTTTCGGCCTCCATTGTGGTCGTAATGCGAGGACTACCTGTAAACTTGTGGCAAAGACGCACAGCGCAGAATTCTGCATCAAGTACCGAGGAGACTCACAGCATGACTGAATTGGAAACATATGGAAAGCTGCACCATGCATGCCAAGCTCTGGTATCTACAAAGCCACAGGTCCCTCCAGCAGCCAAATCAGAGGAGGAGGAGGTGTGGGAGACAGGGTCAGCATCGAGGCAACCTGGGAGCTCCGAGGGGGAAGAGGGAATGGAGGTGGCAGAGAGAGAGACAGAGGCAGAGCCTGGGCCGTCCATCAGCCATCAGATGGAGAGTCAACAGTCCTGACATCTGGAGGTGGCTGATGAGGAAGAGGAGGAACAGCTGGGTCCAGTGCCTGATGCACAGATGCACTGAAGGCAGAGGAGAGGAGAACAGGGGAAATCTATGGGCCGGTCCTTGGGACAGAAGAGCCATCGCTGCTAGAGAAGCCCCTCCCTAACCCTGGGATAAAAGGCAGGGGGCGGAGATGAATAGATGTGACAGACAACTATTCATCTCCTGGACAGACGGACTTGTTAGCAGAAAGAGAGAGGCAGAGGCAGAGCCTGGGCCATCCGTCAGCCCCCAGATGGAGAGTCAACAGCCCCCAAGTCCGGAGGTGGCTGATGAGGAAGAGGAGGAACAGCTGGGTCCAGTGTCTGACATGCAAATGCACAGAAGGCAGAGGAGAGGAGAGCAGTGGAAATCTATGGGCCGGTCATTGGGACGGAAGAGCCACCGCTGCTAGTGAAGCCCCACCCTAGCTCTGGGGATGAAAGGCAGAGGACGGAGATGAATAGGTGTGGAAGACAATTATTCTTCACCCTGCTAGACAGACTTGTTAGCCTACAGTGAGAGAGAAACTTTTTGCCGGGGCTGTTGGCACTCCTAATAAACAGAACATTTGTTTTAACTGCAGAGGGTTTGTCGTGTTTGGGAGCCGAGTCAGAGCAACAGGTATTTGGTTACCTGAATGGGCAGCTCCACAAACTTTCTTGACCGGGTCAGCAAACAGAACAGGAATGCAGTCCGCGCCGGGAGCGGTGACGGTGACGTCTCTTTGGTTAGTTACGATCCCATCGTAGCTCTCTGGTTGGGGTTGTCCCATCACCCAGACGTCACTGGCGTGGTTGACCTGTTCGCGTATCAACAAGTGGGGCCCTTTGAAAGACCGGATTAGGACTCTTCTCTGGATCCAAATAGTCCCTTTGGGATTTCCAAAACCAATAATCCCAGGGAAGCCTTTTTTAGTGGGCCAGTGGAGGGGAACTGTCGGCTCTTTGGTGCTTGTCTCAGCTTGGTGGTCTTCTTGTAGACGTTTCTTGACCCGACTATGTAATATCATCAGTGTTAGAAGGAAGTGGGGTTTACTCTCCGTTTATATACAGTTCTTTCTAGCACTGAAGATGTTCCCTAGTTGGGTCATGAAACGCCTGCAAGAAAACCACCAAGCTCAGAGACCACAAAGGACCCCACAGATCTCCCCTTCCTCCTCTCCACACACCCCACTCCTTTTTAGCACTGAAGGTATTACCAAGTTGGGTCATGAAACGCCTGCCAGAAAATCACCAAGCTCAGAGACTACAAAGGACTCCACAGTCCTCCTATTCTTCCTCTCCTTCCTCTTCCTCCTCTTCTGCTTCCTCCTCCTCCTCCCCCTCCCCTGGTTTCTGGTTGGGTCATGAAACATCCTCAAGAAAGTAACCAAGCTAAGAGACCACCAAGGACCCCACATGTCACTGCGTTATGTATTTGCCAGCTGAGCTTCCACCCTAAGATTTACGGTAGCCTGGCCAGAGAACCTTATCACGTCTCTATAGCAATAGAGATAAGACTGGTCTTGTGAGACATTGGACTACTGCACACGTCTACATTCTTTCTCTTCGAACTTCCTGATTCTTCCTTTGTCTGTCTGTGTGATGAGACTGCCGGTAACGATGTAGTTAGCTAGTTGTTTTTACTTTTATAATAAAATGTTTCTTAGAATATATACTTCGGGTTTTCTTTCTTTGAGAGTATACACCATGGAAAACAAGATCCATTCACCTCTAATTAATTACAGTTTCCCCGGGGGGGGGGAATGAGGCTGATTCACAGGGGGAGGGGGAGAGTCATCCCTCTCCCCCTCCCCCTGTCTCTCCTCCTCTTCCTCCTCTCTGCAAACCCCACTCCCTTCTAGCATTGATGATGTTGCCTAGTTGGATCATGAAATGCCTGCAAGAAAACCGCCAAGCTCAGAGACCACAAAGGATCTCACAGTCCTCCTCCTCTCCCTCCCTCCCTCCCTCCCCCTCTTCCTTCCCCCTCCTTTCTAGCTCTGATGATGTTACCTAGATGGGTAATGGAACGTCTGCAAGAAAACCACCAAGCACAGAGATCACCAAGGACCCCACAGTTCAACCTAAGAAGGTTTCTTCTTACCTTGATGCTGTGATACATATCTGGGTTAAACCCAGCAGCATGGGATAATCTTCGAAGGTTTTCCTTAACCACAGCTGGTGGGTCTCGCCGCTTAGAACTGCTAAAGAGATTTAAAGAGCTCAGCGTTGGTACATAAGAGATGCCTCCGGTTCTCGTTGTGAATCCATGCAGGAAAATATGTTCTAAAAAAAAAAGTTTTAAAACACAAAATGAAAAAAAAAAAAAGGATTATATTCAGAGCATAAGCATGTTTTCTTACGTTTTTAAGGTGCCTTAAAAAAAAAACACCTCAATCTGATTAAAAATTGCAGCAAACAGACTCCAGTTTAAAAACTGCTCCCTTGTTTATTCAGAATTTTATTAAGGATTAATAAAATAGTTTATCAATGTTGCCTTTGGGTTCATTTTCTTATTTTGTCACACACGCTTAAAATAAAACTGGACCTGATACATGATTAGCAGGATCTGAATTTCCAAAATTACTGACATTACTAGACAAGTATTGAAAGCTCCCGAATCTACATTTAATACTGTTTAACGTTATTTAGAAAGGATTATATAGATAGTAGCAGGAAATCACATGAAACTAGCAAATCAACAGTCTATAAAGTTTCAAATAACGTTAAATTTCTGTGATCTTACAAACAGTTAATTAAACAAAATCCTCACCCTCCATGGATATGCAGTAAGGAATGTATTTTTAAACCTTTGAATGTTAGAAATCTAATATTTCTGAGGAAACCACACCTGGATAATTTGGGTGTGTTCCTCCGTTGCACTGTTTTGGTTTAATATTAATTAATTTCAATTTGTTTGCAGTAATATTAATTAATATTAAATTATCTGGTCTTGCGAAGACATATTTGGCTTAGAGACATGAACGCATCATTGAATTAAACAGAATTATATAAAATATTTGGAATCTATTGAAGCAAGAAGACTTTTGGATTTACTGTGAACAGTTTATAGCTAAAAAGTTTACTGAAAATGTCTGATTTGAAACTCAGGTGTTTGCTTTCTACAAATGAACAAGCTTAATTATTATCAATGCTGTGGGAAGTCTGCTCAATATTTCTCAGAAAGGATTAGCTGGATGGTTAAGAATGGCATTTTTCTGCTTTTAGGTGCACCTTTTTCAACATTTATTTTTCTTTTCTTACGTTCTTTTTTCTTTTTACCTCTGTTCATTTATGCTCATGCGGTTTGTTTTTCTTATTTGGTTCCTATGTTTCATTTTTGTCCATATATTACAAGCCATTAAAAAACCCTATTAAAAGTTAATAGACAGATCCTTGACTTACGAACGCAACAGAGCTCAAAATTCCTGCTTGTAAGCAAAACTGTTGTTAAGTGAATTCTGCCCCATTTTACGACCTTTCTTGCCACGGCTGTTAAGTGAATCACTGCACTTCAGTTAGACACACAGTTGTTAAATGAATCGGGCGTCCCCATGGTTGCCCGAAGGTTGCAGATTATATGACCCCAAATCACTGCAACCGTCATAAATACATGCTATGTTCCAGGGGTGAAATCCAGCAGGTTCTAACAGGTTCTGGAGAACCGGTAGCGGAAATTTTGAGTAGTTCGGAGAACCGGCAAATACCACCTCTGGCTGGCCCCCGAGTGGGGTGGGAATGGAGATTTTGCAGTATCCTTCCCCTGCCACGCCCAAGCCACGCCCACACAACATAGGGAAAAATTTTGGATTTCACCCGTGCTATGTTCGCCATCTTCAGTTATTTGTAAAAATAATAAAGGCAGGATACAGAATGAATGAATGAATGAATGAATGAATGAATGAATGAATGAATGAATATTTCCCATGTTACCTGGGATCAATGAAGATTTGAGGATCGTGAGGTCTCCTTTCAGGCTGGGAAGGCTTTCCAAAAACTGGCTTATTTCTTTCTGGATCCTTTCCACCTCGGGATCTCCACAAGGCCCTGCTTTGCTGCGTGACTCCAAGGATTTCTTCAAACGTTGTTCTTTAACGCTCATGGGCAGCTCTATCAACTCATACCGGTAAAGCCCGGTGAAGAGCTGCTCCATATACTTCCTCACCAAGGATTTTCTCTCCCAGGACAACAGGATGATGACTTTTTCCACGCCTTTTTCGTCCAGCTTCTGCTTCACGGCGTATAAGGCCGCAGCAAAGGTTTTGGCACCCATCACCTCACCACAAGGTAAATCTTTTAAGGCTGTCTCAACTTGCTCTTCGCCCTTACTTTCGTGGTCAGGGGTCTGGCAGCACATGAAATACCCACTCCCACTGAGGTCTTTCGTGCGTACGAGTTCAACCACCTCAAGTAATGAACCCAAGAACCTTAATTTGGAAGTCTCTGGCCCTAAGTGCCAAAAGTCAATCAAGACCTCCGTCTTTGGACTTGGTGGCCGAGAGGCAGACTGCCCATCCATCATCCCTTTTCCTTTTTTTTCAATATAAAGGGAAGCCTTTAATTTTAGAAAGCCGTCCTTGAGTTGTAATTATTTATTTTCTTGGCTTTGCTCTTGGATTTTCCTTTGGAAAGCAGCTTCAAGTTATAAGATTGTTATTATTTTTTTAAAAATTCCTGTGGTCCTCTTTCAGATTTCTCCCTTTTTCCTTCCTTCCTTCCTTCCTTCCTTCCTTCCTTCCTTCCTTCCTTCTTCCTTCCTTCCCTTCTTCTTCCCCTCTCTCTCTTTCTCTTCTTCTCTTCTCTTCTCTTCTCTTCTCTTCTCTTCTCTTCTCTTCTCTTCCCTTCCCTTCCCTTCCCTTCCCTTCCCTTCCCTTCCTCTTCTCTTCCCTTCCAATGATCACTGTACCAAGTTATGAGCGATTGTGTAGCTTTCAGAAAGGTCAACCTTTGGAGAGAGAAAGTGAGAGAAAAATAAAATTGCGAAGAGCTGAATTTGTCCTTTTGCTAGAACGTAAACAAGTGCTATTGTAGTTCAAGAGGGCAATGGTGATCAAAGCAAGGAAGCATAAACAATCAGTAGTCATAAACCTTAAATTGCTCAGAATAGTTCACAGTTGAATGGAGAGTTGGTCCTGACTTACCAATATAGAATATAGAATAATACGGTTGGAAGGGAGCTTGGAGGTTTTCCAGTTGAACCTCCTGCTCAAATAGGAGACATTACCACTCAAGACAAGTGGCTGTCCAGTCTATTCTTAAAAGCCTCCAGTGATGGAACTTCTGGTGGCAAGTTGTTCCACTGGTTAATTGCTCTCACTGTCAGGAAAATTCTCCTTAGTTCTAGGTTGGATCTCTGTTTAAAGATCTTCCATCCGTTATGTTTTGCATGCAAAAAAAAAAACAAATATCTTAATGCCAAATTCAGACCCTGAAATTGAAGCTCATTTACTCACCGCTGCAGAGAACCTTGGCAGAAACCACACAGAAGCACTTCACGAAGGACTGACTCTTGGCTTCAAGGTTCTGCACTAGAGACACAATTATTTTGAGGAAGCACCAGAGAAGACTTGAGGAAGTAGCCAATGACTCATATGTATGCCTGCACATGTGCCTCAAATGTGTAATATGCAAAACCTGTTTGATAAGAAATGAAAGTTAGATAAAACTCACGCACAGAAATATGGTAGAATTAGGAGGAGTGGTTGAACTGGGCACTATTGCTTTGATTCCAGATGTTTGAAAAATGATGCGACGTGGATATATTAAGGGATGGCGGTGCTCATCACCCCTGCAACATAGCCACCCTTACAACACAGCCATTAGATGACTATCCTGCTGGGGATGATGGGAGCTAGGATCTAATATATCTGAAGTCCACTCCTGGAATACTGCATCCAGTTTTGGTCACCACATTACAAAAAAAAAAAAAAATGCTGAGACTTTGGAAAGAGTACAGAAAAGAGCAACAAAGATGATTAGGGGGCTGGAAATAAAAATATATGAAGAATGGCTGCAGGAATTGGGTATGTCTAGTCTAGTTGAAAAGAAGGACCAGGGGAGACATGATAGCAGAGTTCCAATATCTCAGGGGCTGCCCCAAAGAAGAGGGAGTCAAGCTATTCTCCAAAGCCCCTGAAGGCAGGACAAGAAGCAACGGGTGGAAACTAATCAAGGAGAGAAGCAACCTGGAACTAAGGAGGAATTTCCTGACAGTGAGAAGAATTAATCAGTGGAACTACTTGCCTCTAGAACTTTTGTGGGTGCTCCATCATTGGAGGTTTTAAAGAAGAAACTGGATAACCATTGAAATGGTATAGGCAGGGTCTCCTGCCTGAGCAGTGGGGTGGACTAAATGTCCTCCAAGGTCCCTTCCAACTCTGTTATTCTGCCATTCAAGGCACTGACCTTTAAGTTGGTCAAAGACTGGCACAATACTTTGGCCTTAAAGGAGGAGAAGAATGTCATGCCAGCCAATTGTGTGTGCGTGTGTGACTCTCTAGCTTTATCTCTGTCAGCTGAATTCAGAGCGATTGTTCTGTCTACTAAAAAACTGATGACTTCGGGTGATTGGCCAAAGAACAGAAGAATAACTGATCTCGTGAAAAGCTGAGCCATTCACGTTTCCGCCTTTATCCACTTCCTCCTTAAGACCTCGCTCCTGCAACTCAATCCGAAGTTGCGTACCATTCGAAACCAGAGGGTCCTTGGTGCTCTCTGAGCTTGGCTGTTTTCTTGCAGAGGTTGTGCACTGATGATGTTACCTAGTTGGGCCATGAAACGTCTGCAAGGAAACCACCAGGCTAAGAGAAGACCATGGACCCCACAGTCCTCCTCCTCTCTGCACATCCTCTCCCTTCTAGCACTGATGATGTTCCCTAGTTGGGTCATCAAACGTCTGCAAGAAAACCACCAAGGTCAGAGAGCACCAAGGATCCCATAGTAGTCCTCCTCCTCCTCTCTGCAACCATTACTCCCTTCTAGCACTGATGATGTTCCCTAGTTGGGTCATGAAACGTCTGCAAGAAAACCACCAGGCTCAGAGAAGACCAAGAACCCCACAGTCATTGTCCTCCTCTTCCCCTCCACAAACCCCACTCCCTTCTGGCACTGATGATATTATCTAGGTGGGTCATGAAACGCCTGCAAGAAAACAGCCAAGCTCAAAGAGCACCCAGGACCCCACAGTTGTTGTCTTCTTCTTCTTCTATTGTGTATTGTGTAATGTATTGTGAGCCGCCCTGAGTCTTCGGAGAGGGGCGGCATATAAATTTAGTTAATTGAATTAAATTAAATTAAATTAAATTAAATTTTTCTTCTTCTTCTTTTCTTCTTCTTCTCCTTCTCCTTCTTCCTCTTCCTCTCCCTCCTCCTCTTCCCTCCTCCTCCTCTCCACAAACCCCCCTCCCTTCTAGCACTGATGCTGTTCCCTAGTTGGGTCATGAAACCTCTGCAAGAAAACAAGCAAGCTCAGAGAGCACCAGGAACCAGGGGTGAAATCCAGCAGATTCTGACAGGTTCTGGAGAACCGGCAGTGGAAATTTTGAGTCGTTCGGAAAACTGGCAAATACCACTTTTTTGCTGGCCCCCGAGTGGGGTGGGAATGGGGATTTTGCAATATCCTTCCCCTGGAGTGGGGTGGGAATGGAGATTTTGCAATATCCTTCCCCAGGAGTGGGGATTTTGCATATCCTTCCCTGGACGGAGTGGGAATGGGAGATTTTGCAATATCCTTCCCCCAGGAGTGGGAAGGGAATGGGATTTTGCAATATCTTCCATGAGTGGGGGGAATGGGGATTTTGCAGTATCCTTCCCCCAGGAGTGGGGAGGGAATGGGGATTTTGCAATATCCTTCCCCCAGGAGTGGGGAGGGAATGGGGATTTTGCAATATCCTTCCCCCAGGAGTGGGGAGGGAATGGGGATTTTGCAGGATCCTTCCCCTGCCATGCCCACCAAGCCAAGCCCACAGAATCGGTAGTAAAAAAAAATAAAATTGGATTTCACCCCTGCCAGGACTCCTCCTTTCAACCCTGAGCTGCAGACTTTCCCCTTCAGAAGATGCATCCTAGATCGGGTCTTGCTGGAAAAAAACAGAGCCGCGAAGAAGAAGCCTCGGAGGCACTTACGGCGGAGCAAGACGCTGCAGCCCCCCGGGGGAATTTGCAAACCTCGGCTGGCCGCTCCCGCTCCGCTCCCACCTTAAACGGCAGGCGGGGCCCCAGGGCGCTGACGTCACCCGGCCGGGGGAATTCCCACTTTGAGTCAATTCGGGCTTCCCCCGCCTGGCGCTGGCTGGGCGGGCAGGTGCAGCAAAAAAAAAAAAAAACCCCAATACACAAGAACACAAAACAAGCCGGAGCCGCTCAGGCGCGCCTGGGCTGGAAGGGAGGCGACCTCCTTTCTTGGTGCAATGGGAAAGGAGGCCACGAGGAAAGCTTTGGCGAAGAGCCTGGGTTTGGCAGAAGCGGGGTGAGGGGTGCGAGGAAGCGTGCGCTTGCAACAGCCCGGCAGTGTAGTCCTTTTTCAAATAAATAAATAAAGATGACTATGAATTTGTGTCTTTCACAGCGCAGCTACTTTGATTAGCTCCATTTAGAATCTACCCGTCCTAAAAAAAACAAAACTAAAAAAAAAAACCCATGCAAGAGGTTGTTGGAGGTTTACAGTGCAACTTCAGCTGCCCCCCAGCTTTCTACCCTGAATTTTTGGGAGGCCTGGGCTCAGCCCCTCTGGACTCGCCCGCGGGCGGCAGGTTGCAGTTTCACGGAGAGCTCATTTCTCTTGAGTACTTTTCTTCCCTTTGGATGAATGAAGGCCAAAGTAAACCAAGGAGGAAGTAAGTACTCCAGGCCTCTTGCAATGCTCCTTCACCGCACAAGCTATAGGGGGTGCCTGCCTTTTCTTCTGTGTGCAGTAATAAGCCACTGTCTGCAAGGGTGCGTGTGTGCACACGCGTCTTCTCCCCAGCGCATCATCCGGACACGTGTATTAGCTGTTGGCAAAGGTGTGCGGGAGAGAGAAAGGCCTATCCGAGCAGATGCATGCGCCTCCCCTCTGCAAAGCTGCGTTTCTATCGCACTCCAGTTGTGTAGACCGCACCTTAGGCGTCTATGCTGGGAAGCGCAGGCAGAGGCGATCAGGCGCGGCTCTGGATCACGTGACCAGCCGAGGAGGGAGGAGGGGGCTTGTGAGGGGGCGGTCTTGGGGTCTGCAAGGAAGGTTCCTCAGAGAGAGAGAGAGTTGGAAGGGTCCTTGGAAGACTTCTAGTCTCCTGCTGGAGAGGGAGGGAGGGAGAGTGAGGAAGGAAGGAAGGAAGGAAGGAGAAAGAAAGAAGGAAAGAAAGAAGGGAAGGAAGAAAGGAAAAAAGCACTTTTGGGATAACTATGACCTGGATTACTGAGAAAGAAAGAAAGAAAGAAAGAAAGAAAGAAGAAAGAGAAGGAAAGAAAGAGAAAGAAAGAGAAAGAAAAAGAAGGAAAGAAAGAAAGGAAGGAAGGAGAGGGAAGAAAGAAAGAAAAGAAAGAAAAAGAAAGAAAGAAAAAGCACCTTTGCGATAACCATGACCTGGATTACTGAGAAAGAAAGAAAGAAAGGAAAGAAAGAAAGAAAGAAAGAAAGAAAGAAAGAAAGAAAGAAAGAAGGAAGAGGGAAAGAAAGAGAAAGGAAGGAAGAAAGAAAGGAGAGAGGAAAAGACAGAGAAAGAAAGGAAGGAAGGAAAGAAAGAAATAAAGAAAGGAGAGAGGGAAAGAGAGAAAGAGGAAGAAAGAAAGAAAAGAGAGAGGGAAAGACAAAAAGAAAGGAAGAAAGGAAGGAAAGAAAGAAAGGAGAGAGGGAAAAACAGAAAGGAAGAAAGGAAGTAAGGAAAGAAAGAAAAAGAAAGAAAGAAAGAAAGAAAGAAAAAGAAAGAAAGAAAGAAAGAAAAAAAAGCACCTTTGGGATAACCATGATCTAGATGACTGAGAATCTCCATAAACATTTCACTTAACAACTGTCTCGCTTAGCAACAGTAATTTTGAGCTCAATTGTGACCGTAAATCGAGGACTGCCTGTATGCCCAATGCCACACCTTGCCAATGAAAATTCCTTCTGCTTAAGGTATTTCCAAATCATGGCTTGGAACCCTTTGTAAAATACACTTCGCAACAAATAAAGGCAAGGAAATAGTGAAGTGGAAACAAGCACCATGCAGTGGGAGCTCAAACATTTGTCATCATTTACCCAGCAAGAAAATCCATCCCGGTTAATCATGTAGGGTAGATATTATCCGATCAAGTTTTGTCTGTTTTCACCCTCAATTATGGTTTGTTTGGGTTTTTTTGCCTGTTTCTCTCTGGATGCCAAATCTGTTCCGCTTTTGGAGACTTTTTCTGCTGATGGACAGAAAACAATAATAACAAAAAAACGCCTGAGACTCTAATTTCCTCCCAGCCTAAGAGGCTGTTGTCAGAGTTGAGAAATACTGCAATAGTGGAATCATAATACTCTTTTAAGACTCCTGGGAAGATCTTGATCAGGTGGGCGGTTTGGGTTTGGAAACTGGTTGGAGCTCCTGCTGTGGGCCAGGAGTTACCTGAGGACAACAAGGCCCTTCCTTTGCTCTGGAAACTTTCTCAATTGCAATGCTCAGCAGATCTCCCCAGGGGTAGATGACATCTCAGAAACCCCTCCCTTCCTTTCGTTTTTTCCAAAGTCAGCATAACTGGAGTCTGCAGCAGAATCAGAATAGAGTTGGAAGGGACCTTGGAGGTCTTCTAGTCCAACCCCCTGCTTAGGCAGGAAACCCTACACCCCTTCAGACAAATGGTTATCCAACATCTTCTTAAAAACTTCCAGTGTTGGAGCATTCACAACTTTTGGAGGCAATTGTTTAATTGTTTCTAACTGTCAGGAAATTTCTCCTTAGTTCTAAGTTGCTTCTCTCCTTGATGAGTTTCCACCCATTGCTTCTTGTCCTGCCCTCAGGTGCTTTGGAGAATAGTTTGACTCCCTCTTCTTTGGGGCAGCCCCTGAGATACTGGAAGACTTCCATCATGTCTCCCCTAGTCCTTCTTTTCATTAAACTAGACATACCCAGTTCCTGCAACCGTTCTTCACACACGTTTTAGCCTCTGTTAGTAAATACTGTAATCTTTTTCTCTTGGGGCAGATTCTCAGAGCAGAAGTAGGCGTCATAAGTCTCTAGAGATCTACGAAAATCATCGTTATACTAAAAAGGAAAGACTGCTTAAATCTGAGTCCTGGGATTTTAATGGATTATGTGTCTCTTCAGTTTTTTGCACCACTACAGAGGTGAAGCCATCACCTTTGGGTATGCAACTTAGAACAGTTAAATAGTTAAATAAAGCAGACAATGTAAAACAGAATCCACTTGAGGTCATCCATTTAAGCCAGGAGTATCTGACATTGGTAACTTTAAGAGTTATGGACTTCAACTCCCAGCTAAAAAAAATAAAATGAAATAAATAAAAAATAAAATAAAATAATAAAATAAAATGTCTTTTTGGAATCTAGAGCAGGCAATCAACTTGAGGTCATCCATTTAAGTCAGAGGTGTCCGACTTTGGCAATTTAAAGACTTCTGGACTTCAACTCCCAGAATTCCCCAGCCACCATAGCTTCCATTACATTTTTACTTGAAACTGGCATAGCTGGCTAGGGGATTCTGGGAGTTGAAGTCCAGAAGTCTTAAAAGTTGCCGAACTCAGGCCCTCCCCTGGCTTAAATGGACAACCTCAAGGTGATTCTGCTTTACATTGCCTGCTAGGGTTTCCAAAAAGAGATGATCGCATGGTATTGTATTATTTTCGTTTATTATTTTATTTTGCATTAGATTGATATTCTGCTTTTCGTTCAGGGCCTCAAGGTGGACACTTCCTCCTGTTTTTCCCTGGCTTCTCTGCAAGTGAATTTGGCCTTGGAGATAAGAAATAGAATTTACAGCCTGTGCTGCCCCCAGTTTCAAGTGCAAACGTCACGGCAAAGCCAAGAAATAAACGACAATGACCAAGAGTTCGACGAGAAAACATGTTTACTTGGAAAAAATCCCGTGGAGTTGTGCTGGGCTCACTTCCTGGAAAGAAGTCTCACCGGGTAATCTTAATTAGTTGAGGGCAGAGTAAACAAGGGATAAATGTAGGTCAGTAGAGCCTTGTTTACTCAACCAGAAAGTGACTTCAGCATCGTGACTTCAAGCTAACTTAGGCAAACAATGGCCTCACTCAACACCTTTGCTGAAAATCTTACCTCATCCTTATCTTTCAATTCAGGTCGTCCTCCATTTACAACTATTCATTTAGTAACCGTTCCAAGTTACAACGGAACTGAAAAAAAAAATGACTTATGACTGCAGCTTTCCCACAGTCACGTGACCAAAGTCAAACGCTCGGCAACTGGCATGTACTTATGACGGTTGCAGCTTCCTCCCAGGGTCACGTGATCCCCCCTTTCGTGACTGACGAGCAAAGTCCACGGGGGAAGCTCGATTCACTTAACAACCGTGTTAGCAGCTTTACCGTTGCAGCGATTCACTTGAGAACGGTGCCAAGGAAAGTCACTTAACAGCAGAAATTCTGGGCTCCCTTGCGGTCGTAAATCAAGGATTGCCTTGTAGCTTTTGCCACGGAGGGGCTGGAAGCAAAAGAATACGATGCGTTTTGGTGCTTTTGACTTAGGTTCAGACACCTTGAAGTCTGAAATGGAACAGACAAATCTGTTTTTTTTTTCAACGGGCATCAGGGTTAGCTTTCAAGATTTCCGAGAGGTTTAAATAATTGAACAAGAGCTTTGGTGGTTTGGAAGGGTGGCTGAGATTAAGAACTCATATTTGGAGGATATGGAGAATATGCTGGAAATCAGCTAAAATAAAATATGCTGGAAATCAGTCAAACAAATAGTTGGAGCTATAGAGGAGAATATGGAAAATTAAGTGTAATTGTTAAAGTCTAAGATTTAAAGATTCGTTGAAATGGGTTTAGAGATTAAGGAATATAGATAAAATTTTGATTTATAAGTTGAAATAAAAATAGAATTTGGGAAGTACGACTTGTGGTGATAAAATGTAAGGTAAATACTTAGATTAAGATGTTAGAATATTTTTAAAATTTGTATTTTTGATTTTTATGTTAAAAGATGCAAGGGAGGGAATTAAACTAGATAGAATTTTGATTGATAATTGGAAATAATGAGTAGAGATTATTTGGAAATTAAGGATTTGATGATACAATAGATTGATTTAGAATAAAATGTTAGAATTTGTGTTAAAAATTTGAATTTTGATTTTGAATTTTAAAAGATGTAACCAGAAAATTGGGATTAGAGCTTGTTAAAGGAATGTAAATGATTGTACCTATCTATGACCGGATCAAGACTTCGTTCTTAAAAGATATATTTTATGTTTATGTTTGGAAAACACAATAAAAAAATATTTTTCAAAAAAAAAAAAGAGAATTCATATTTAGAGGTGGCAATCTCTGGCTTGGAAATGCTATTTTTTTGTGAAGCTCGGTGGTCCCGCCGGCCTAGAAACAGAGGAACGCTTAGAAAAAAAATCAGGAGGAAAAAAAAATTTCACGGAAAACGAGAGAAACATCTTGGCAGCATTGAGTGGGGCGAAGGGCGAAGACCTCGGGGCAAGGTTGAGAAAGAATCACTTGCAAGTGGTCCTTGACTTACGACTGTCATTTAGCGACCGTTCGACGTTGCAAAGGATCTTCCTGCGGAGATATTTTTGACTCGGAGTTATGACAGCTGGGCCATTTCCCCTGTGGTCACAAGGCTGAAGTTGCCCCATGTTTACGAAAACTCGCAGCATCCACCAATCATGTGGCCACGTTTTAGGACAATTTCGTTATAAACTTGCATTTATATTTTCTGCAGAACCAGTCCTGAGCCAACCACCGGCTTGCTTAATGACCGCAGTGTTTGCTTAACAACCGCTGCAAAAAAAAAAAAAAAAAGATCTCAAATCTCATGGGTCACATTTAAAACCGACACAGCGTACAACGGAAACGGGCAAGCTCCCTGATGGTCGTAAGAGTCGTGGAGGAGGAAGAGGAGGATTGTAGAGTCATTGGTGCTCTCTGAGCTGGGTGGTTTTCTTGTAGACGTTTCCTAACCCAACTAGGTAACATCATCAGTGCTAGAAGGGAGTTGGGTTTGTAGAGAGGAGGAGGAGGAAGAGGAAGAGGAGGACCGTGAGGTCCTTGGTGCTCTCTTAGGTGGGTATTTTTCTTGCAGATGTTTCATTATAATAAATAAGGTGAAAAGAGTTGTTTCCACATGAAGAATGCAAGCATGTAGGCTTTTAACTGAATCTAATTTAAAAGAGGAGCTAAGAAATACAAAACTCAAAATTTGAGTTTTAAAACGCCATTTAATGTGAAGGCCCCATATTTCCACCCGCTCTCTCTAAATAAATTCAGCCCTTCTTCCCCATTTTCATCGCTCCCTTTTAGCAACTAGGAAAGAATACGCAGTAACCTTGCAGAAAAACAAAACCAGATTAACTGTGGAAACAGCAATTTTATTGCTTTGGCCTTCCATGTTAGCTAGACGGATTGAACTGAAGTTCTGATAACTCGATTGGTCCAAATTTCCTTCTTAAAAAGTCTTTTTCTGCTTCTGGAGTGACTCCTTTCTCATTTTTCTCCAAGGCGGTGAATCTGTGATACTTTGTGCATCTCAAGGCCGGCTTTAAAAATCCGGAAATCCAGATATATAGTATTAGTAAATATATATATATTTTTACTAATACTAGGTTTTCCAGCACAGTGAGGCCTTGCCAGCTATTGTCGCAAAATTTGAATTTCAAGTAATTTGGATATAATACAAAGAAGAATTTGCAAATTTGCAGCATTCTGTTATGAGGACTTCAGTTTCTCTAACAGGATGTATTTCAAGCAGTTTCTGAAAGACAGAAAAATAGATGTAAATCAGTTCAGAAAGCTTAGTGATGAAGAATTTCTATTGATTCCCCAAGAAATGTAATTTTTTTTCCCTCCAGGATTTCTTTCCAAAAGTTGTATTTATGTAAATAATATGCAATCATGCACGCGAGCATGATATATAACATTTTACATTGTTTAGCTTATTCTTTAGATTTAAAAGAAAAAAAAAATATTGCAGTGCGAACTAGTGAATAATGGAATTCATTTTAAATGGGAGCAACATAATATAAAGCCATGGCAGAAAATTGAACAAAATGGTTATTCTCACTCTCTCTTTTTAGTCTCTCTGCAAAGCGTTTTAAAATTTCTGGAGAAAAGGACCGAAGAGAATTGCGATTAAGAATGAAAAAGGAGCGATAGCTTTAAAAGCTGCAGAAAATATAAAAAGGCACAGGAGAACAGATGCTGAATTATATGCTAAGTTCTATAGTTAACATATTCCTGTATGAAAATTTTTAAGCACTGCCAAGGAATAATACTATAAACGCTAACTGTAAGATTTTGAAGGGTCTTAAAAAAGCAATTTGATTCAATTTAAGAATAAGACAAAATGGCCAATATTGTTCAGATATGTTATGCAAAAGGGAAGAAAGGAAAAAAAATAGTTTTAGGCAAACTTAAAAACTAAACAGAAAATTATAGATGGCATTTCTCACCAACAAGATTGGCAAAAATGTTTAAAGGCAGGTCCTCTAAATGTTGGAAGTGTAACCAGATGCCTGGTTCCTATTATCACATGTGGTGGACGTGCCCAAAAGCAAAAAAAAATATTCCAATACATACTTGGTTGGAAAAAATGATAAAGCAGCATATAGATTTGAAGTCAGAAATATTTCTGTTGGGCATCCTACTGGAAAAGTATGACAAAAGGAATATATATTTGATTTTACATGTACTAACTGCAGCCAGAATTGTATTTGCACAATAATGGAAAAGAGAAGAGATCCCGACAGATGAGGGTGTCATTAAAAAAATATTAGAATGTGCAGAAATGGACAGATTAATACTTACAATTAAGGAAAAAGAGGGAACTGAATATTTAATAAAAACAGAAGTTAGAAATATGGGGATACAAAAAGGACTAACGTTATAAAGGAGATTTGTTAAAGTAGACTAGTAAATATTATTATTATTATTATTATTATTATTATTATTATTATTATTATTATTATTATAGAATTAATTTCATTGAGATGAATACTATTGTAAACATTTTGATTACGATTTCCTAAAAATAATTATACCCAGACAACACACTGTTAGATTGAAATTGAATTTTTACATGTCATATAAACAAAACAAATAAAAAAAAATTGACAAAAAAAAACCTAAGTAGAAAGATAACGTGTAGTGTGATAATTCTAAATTGTTCTTCCACCTTGGAATTTGTCCTTTGCAAGGAATTTTAGGGAATTCTTCATTTTGGAGCCAAAAAATTAGAACCAACCAATATGGCAGGGATGGATATGATCTTTGTTGTATCTCTTTTGCTAGATTTTTGATTATTCATTGATTTTAGCCTTATTTTAGTTTAAAATTGTGCAAAGATTCCAGGAATGCTACTTTTATTATCCTAGGGTATGATAACATTGATTATTGATCGATCTTTATCTCACTTCAACAAATGACCATTGCTAGCTTTATTGATTTGTGTCTTAATAGCAATCCCTTCGGAGTTTTTCAAATATATTTTAAGGCACGTGGCAATCTTTAAGTCAATTTAAATGTTCCTGTTATGATAAGTAATGAGTTTCTGTGTTGTTAACCAAAGGGGGGGAAAAACATTTATCCAATTTTGGATAATCTAATCGAGTTTCAGAAGAACTGCTCTATAACTTTTAGTTTTTTGAGAGAACATTGCAGAAATAGCAATACCACTTAGACTTATAGAATAGAATAGAATAGAATTCTTTATTGGCGAAGTGTGATTGGACACACAAGGATTTTGTCTTTAGTGTATATATAGCTTCACAGTGCTTTACAGTCCTCTAAGCGGTTTACTATTGTCCCCAACAATGCCCAAAACATAGAATTAAAATAGGAATGGGAATGGAACACTGCTTAAATGCTATTTTTTTTAAAAAAAATCTGTTTAGAGTGAATGTAGCTTGGCTCATTTGCAGCAATCTTAGCATTTCAAGGATATTTTTTTTCCATGCTCTGTTTAGAGTGAATGCGGATTGGCTCATTTGCAGTAATCTTAGTATTTTAAGGATCCCCTGGAATTGAAGATGGCCACAGGAAGTCTTCAAATTACTTTTGAGAATTAGGAGTAAGAAAGAATTGATGGTGGTGTGAGAATCACATTAATTCCTATTTTTTCCTCCTCCTCCTCCTTCTATGTTTTTTAGGCATGGCTGACTCGGATTCATTAGGAATTGCTGAAATGGTGAAACGGGTAGCAGAGCGACAAAATACTCAGGCTTGTGAAATACAAAAGAGCAAGGAAGTGCTCACACAAATGCAGGTAATTTTTCAGAAATACTTTACAGTCCAGTGGAGAAAAAACAGGATTGACTGCCTGAGTCTAGTTTGGTTTGGAGAAAGTCGGACGGAAGCTGAGAACCTTCTAGCCAAGAGAATAAATCTCCACTAAATGCTTTCAACCTCTTTGTATCAATGGCAATGTCAGGAGGAAATAAAAAAAGCATTTTCTTGGACTCCAGTACATATTTAAGTAGCAGAATCTAGGCAGCTATTGAGATCAATTGACTCTTTATTATGGTCAAAGACCAGCATAAAGGTAGAAAGAATTAAAAAGCATAAAAAAATACATCAGTTATATATAAATTATATATAAAAAACTTTAAAGAAATTTAAAAAGAGGGCCAGGAGCCAGTTTGGTTAGCGGTTAAGGCAACAGGCTAGAATTAGGAGACGGTGAGTTCTAGTCCTGCCTAAGGGTATGAAAGCCAGTTGGGTGACATCAGCAGGAGATGGTGAGTTCTAGTTCCACCTTAGGCATGAAAGTCAGCTGGTAACTTTGGGCCAATCACCAGGAGAAAGTGAGTTCTAGTCCAACTTTATCCATGAAAGCTGGCTAGGTGACTTTGGGCCAATCACCAGGAGATTGGAGTTCTAGTCCTGCCTTAGCCGTGAAAGCTGGCTGGATGACTTTGGCCAAAATCACCAGGAGACTGGCAGTTCTAGTCTTGCTTTAGCCATGAAAGCTGGCTTGGTTACTTTGGACAAATTCACCAGGAGACAGGGAGTTCTAGTCCTGCCATAGGCATGAAAGCAGCTGATTGGGCCTATCCCTCTCTCTCAGGCCAATCCACCTCACAGGGTTGTTGTTGTGGGGAAAACAGGAGTGGGAAGGTGTGTTGGAGATGTTCACCTCACTTTTTGACTCTTTTCAGTATTCACTGGTTTAATCCCGCCATGTTTTTTCTCTGTAGGCTCAGCTTCGGGATCTTGAGATCCAGAGGAACTCCGTTGTAGCTGAAAGAAGGGCCGTTGAAAGAGAAACGTACTTCTCCGAGGAAGCCCTCGCCACCACCAGAGGCCATCTCAAAGATCTGGAGGCGCAAATCTCAGCCTCACATGGCGAGAACGTGAAGCTGTCCCAGGAAGTTGAAGTTCTACAAGAAGAGTTGGAAACGAAGGTTTTAGGAAACCGGGCTTACTATGAGAAAATGGCCGCCCACCGAAACCGGTTTGAGGAAGCAGAAAGCAAATTGCCTTTTGTGGTGGAGCTGGTGACAAAAAGGGCCACCGTCCAGCAGCTGATGGAGAAGAAGGAAGGGCTAGTAGCTTCTCTTCACGAAAAAGAAGAACAGGATATGGTTGGCCAAGTCCAGGTCAGGGTCCCTGGCCTTCACGATTATTTTGTCTTCCTCCCCAAATCGGCTCTTTACAGCTGTTTATCCGTCCTCAGCAAGATAATTTGAGGAGGGGGTGGACTTTGACATACAACCCTTCGTTTAGTGTCTCTTTGAAGTTACAACGGCACTGAAAAAAGTGATTTATGACCGTTTTCCACACTTAACGATCCTAAGTGGAAAAATCGGTCATAAATCACTTTTTTTCAGTGCCATTTTGACTTCAAACCAGGGGTGAAATGCTACCGGTTCAGACCGATTCGGGAAAACCGGTAGTAAAAAACGCTACCGGTTCGCGCGAACCGGTATTTCCGACGATCAGCTGGGTGATGATCAGCTGTGACGTGCAATTCGTATTAGCTAGAATCGTCGGATTTCCTGCTTTCTAGCTAATCTAAATCGCGTGGCCTAGCGAAGCACATGCTCGGTAGAAGACTCACCGAACCGGTAGCAGACTTGAGAGGATTTCACCGCTGCTTCAAACGGTCAGTAAACGAAGGGTCATGGGGTCAAAAGTCAGACGTTTGGCGACTCACTCACATTTATGACGGTTCCAGTCTCCCCTTTTGTGACCTTCTGACAAGTCAAAGCCAGATTCACTTACTAACTTAGCAATTGCACTCTGTGTTTAATGAGAGCTTGTGGCCTTTAACAAGCTTGTCCAAAGTGACCTTTTTTTTTTAAATTTATTAAAAAAAAAATAATAATTTTACAACAACAACACAACACAACATACAAAACGTTTTTAACCTAACGCAAGTAAGTATTATGTGTAAACACAGTCATTGTGTATCATCATCAGAAACGATTGTATATTCTGTACAATAGAAAATAAATTTGGGTTGTGTTTTTATCTGACACTTCTCTGGTTCTTTAAGAGTCCAATCTTCCTACTTGCCTCCTTTTTTCTCTTCCAGGTTTAAACAGATCCTTTTCAGCTTAGAATAACAGTCTTTCGTTTCCAATTGGTGGTAATATAAGTTTTCGGTGATAGCTCCCATCTTAACAAATATGAACAGAAACGATTAAAGATTTATTTTACCCTATCTCTATTTCCTTGTTTGCATTCCAACCGCAGGATGAAATTTCTTGTCTGCAAAGTGAAATAAAGGTTTTGAAAGAGGCTGTCGGTGAAAAGGAGAACGCCATTCGAGATGAAAAAAGCAGACATGCTATGCTTCAGAAAGAAATTGAGGTGAGTTTTCATCTCTACAATTATTGGGTCTCATCTATTTTTTCTAAGAAGCGCTCTCAAATGTATGCATTTTTGAATAACAATATTTTTTAAAATGCATCCCTAAGACAGCAGAACTATAAAAGCTGCTAGTTAATTTTATCCCAATATAAAATTATAAACTTGTTTCAAGTTAGGTTCTGGGAAAATATAACGACTTTGGCAGTTACTGTGAAAACATAATTTAAGGTGTTGAAATTCGCACCCGGTACTCGAAGCATCTTTTCAAATCTGTCTCAGCTGTGAAGATCTGCAAAGTCTTTCAAAAGAAGCCAAAAGATTTACTTATTTGTCACGTGAATCAAAATTTCTCCTTTCCACGCAATACAATTTTTACTCAATCGCTAATTCCATATGGCTTCATTTCCCCCCCAGTATTGATAAAAATTTGGTAAAGTTAAATCTCTTTAGCAGGCTTTTCATGGAAAGAATGTCAGGTTGAATTTATTATTTAAATTTGCTCGTCTTAGGGTGTTATTTCTACAGCAGTTTTCATAGCTAAATTGATAATTCACTTGAATTGAAAGAGAGAGCATAAACGCAAGAAAAGCCCATCATCGTAACATCTAAACAATAAATGTATTTTGACCTAGAAGACTCGGATTATAAATGGCAGTAGAGGGAGAATTTTTCAGATTTATGTACTTCTGTAGCACAGTGACCCAAAACTGAGAAAGGAAGTATTCTAAGGCCACATCTGGAAAGCTGAATTCGGTTTTGGTCACCACGATATAAAAAAGATGTGGAGATTCTAGAAGGAGTGCAGAGAAGAGCAATAAAGATGATTTGGGGACTGGAGGCTAAAACATATGAAGAACGATTTCTAGAATTGGGTATGTCTAGTTTAATGAAAAGGAGGACTAGGGGAGACATGATAGCAGCGTTCCAATATCTCAGGGGCTGCCCCAAAGAAGAGGGAGTCAAGCTATTCTCCAAAACACCTGAGGGCAGGAGAAGAAGCAACGGGTGGAAGTTAATCAAGGAGAGAAGCAACCTAGAACTAAAGAGAAATTTCTTGACAGTTAGAACAATTAATCAGTGGAAGAATTTGCCTGCAGAAGTTGTGAATGCTCCCACACTGGAAGTTTTTAAGAAGAGATTGGATAACCCCATTTGTCTGAAGGGGTGTAGGGTTTCCTGCCTAAGCAGGGGGTTGGACTAGAAGACCTCCAAGGTCCCTTCCAACTCTGTTATTCCTTATTCTGATGGATAACATCTAGAGATATTTTCATGGGATGTTTTCGTTTTAGGGATGCTTATAAGGAGACATTTTCTGTTGAATGTTATTATCTACTGGCTGCGCTTTGTGCTGAACAGATGCCCTGTATTTTTTTTGTGTACTTTGATTTTTGTGTACTTCTGAGTAGATATGCCCTGGATTGCATTACACATTTCAGACGTGAGATTTGGTTCCATTTTAATTCTAATTTTAATTCCGTTCTGAGCTACTCGGCGCATATTTTCTCCGCAATCGATCCCGCTGCCTTCGTTGAGTTTATTGCAAGCCTTTCCGTTGGAAAGCTGTATCTTATCGTGCTGCAATCTGCAAATCTATGAAACCCCTCATCCTGTTTACTTGCCTGTAATCCCGCAGGTCTTTCTCAGTGCTTGTCCTTTTATTCTTGCTCCTAACCAGCTGCAGCGTAAGAGATCCGAAGCTGTTCTCAGACGGCTGCGTTGCCAAGTTAACAATCTGGAGCTGGAGAGAAGGCAGCGGCGTTTGAAAATGCAGCAGCTGGAAGGAGAAGCAGAAGAATTACGTAAGATGTTGCAAGCCACCGATGAGTAAACTCACCCAAGGAGATCAGCTCCTGCTTTCAAGGGTTCATGTTTTTGGTTTTCGTTCATCAAACTTCTGTCTTTCCTGTCTGCATTAGCTTTGGAGTTGTTTTGGTTTTTTCCTGGCTGTTCTCATAATCCTAGTAACGAGTGGCCTTTATTTTTGATGCAAAAGTGAATTTGCGATACATAAACGTGGAGGAAAGGCATAATAACCAGTTGCTCTTTCATTTGCTGCTGTTCCCATGTTTAGTCTTTGCTCCCTGCTTTTAAACCTTGGAAGGACGAGCTAAGGAGGCAGCAGTTGATGCCACGTTAATTTTACGACACACTAAACGAGGCCTTGTTCAGAACTGGGACTTCCCAAAGGGTCAGAAAGTTTAATCATTTAATAAGATAAAATGTGTTTGGATGACTGACAGGTTGAAAACACGACTTCACGCATTGCGGTTTGAAGCATGCTTAACCAGGGCAGCACCTTAGCGAGAAAATAATTAAAGACAGGGGGCATAATTATATTTTAACGAGCCCACAAGTGTCCTTGGATATCTTCAGCACCTTTTGGGAGGTCAGTAAATGCTTAGAGTTGTAGAGTGGAAAGGAAAGATGGATTGGTCAGGAGTTGCCTAACTTTTAATGCAGAAAAAGCAGGTTCAGAAAAAATTCCACCGGCCCTTTGGATAAGGCAGGTCCTCCAGAAAATTCAAAACAAGATAAAACCAAAACAGAGAGGCCTTTTTAAAAAAAAAGAAAAAAAAGAAAGCATGATATTCCAGTAAAACTAAATCCTTTGCTTTTCCTGTTACCTTTTCAAAGTCTACATCCATTTGACCCATCCTTGCTATCGCAAAGAAAGACCGTATGGATTGTACTCTTCACACTTGAATAAGTTCTCGATTAAAACGTCGTTTCTTTGCATATGTTCTTTCGTTATTGGTTACGCCATTTCCCATTGGGTTAAGGCGGAGGTCTTCAAACTTGGCAGCTTTAAGACTTGTGGGCAGGTAAGTGCAGGGCGCGTGCAGGGCGCGTGCAAACCAGGGGTGGGTTCTACTTACCTTTACTACTGGTTCGCAACGGGATTGCACGCATGTGCGCTCGGTTCACTCACGCACGCACCTTGCTTCTGCACATACGCAGAAGCTTCTGCGCATGTGCAGATTGCTTCTAATGGCGTCAGGGTCAGTGGGCGGAGCCTCCCGCCGGTTTTACTACCGGTTCTATAGAAGTGGTCTGAACTGGGGGCAACCCACCACTGGCACAGACGCTCAGTAAGGGCGAAAAACGGGCCTACCAGAAGTTCGGGAAGGCAGGAAATGGGCCTGTTTCTGGCCTCCAGAGGGCCTCTGGAGCCTGGGGAGGCCGTTTTCACCCTCCTGGAGGCACAAGGAAAGCCTCCGGAGCCTGGGGAGGGCAAAAACTCCCCCTCCGCTGTGGTGGAGCAGGCCGACTAGGCCACGCCCACCATGGCCACGCCCACCCAGCAACCGGATAGAAAACCCCTTGCTAAAATTTTTGAAGCCCACCCCTGAAGAGATCTATTACCTGGTCCCTTTGCATCATGTATGACTGCTAGCCTCTTTTCCAATTAACAACTTTTATAGAAGCCATCAACATTTGTGGATAGCAGTTCCCTTCACCAGAATATAGAATAATAGAGTCGGAAGGGGCCTTGGAGGTCTTCTAGTCCAACCCCATGCCCATGGCAGGAGATTCTTGGAGAGGTGCCTAGGTTGATAACAAAATCTGAACTGGGATGAGGTCCCTCTCCTTCTCCTTTCCACCCCACCTCATCCTAATTTAAACCCTTTTGCCTTTTAATAACCTCCCACCGACCGGTACGCTCCCACAGAGAGGGACTCCTCAGGGTGCCATCGGCCAGGCAATGTCGGCTGGCGACCCCCAGGGGGAGGGCCTTCTCTGTGGCAGCTCCCGCCCTCTGGAACGATTTGCCCCCGGAGATATCGAATCTCCGGGTTTTTCGCCGTGCCCTGAAAACTTTTCTTTTCCATCAAGCAGGGCTGGCGTGAACCCCCCCTCTTTTTTAGTTTTTTAGTTGTTTAGCTTTTAATCTGTTAATGGGTTTTAATTCGAATTGTTTTAAATTTGGGCCAAAGTATATAATTCTTTTAATAATTTTAAATTTTGTATTGTTATGTGTTTTAGTTCTGGCTGTGCACCGCCCTGAGTCCACTAGGAGAAGGGCGGTATACAAATTGAATAAAATAAAATAAATAAATAAATAAAAATAATAATAAATAAATAAATAAATAAATAAATAAATAAATAAATAAATAAATAAATAAACAAACAAACAAACAAACAAACAAACAAACAAATAAATAAATAAATAAATAAATAAATAAATAAATAAATAAATAAAATGGTTAGTCCAAAAAGGGGGACACCAGATATTTCTTTTTTCACCATAATGTAGGAGAGGAGCAGAATTAAAACCTATTGTTCCCAAAAATGAGTTATGAGGATAAAATAATTTTAATTTTAACCTTGGTTTGTGTTCTGTGTATGTGTGTTTATATATATATATATATATACACACACACACACAGAGATATATACATTCATACATCCAAAATATGGTTTTATGGCGCCCCCTAGTGGCAGCATCTTGTCTTCGCTTGATGCTCATAGGAGCAAACATAGGCATTTTTCATTGATGCAATATCTAAAGAGAAACTGAGGCAGCTTTATTGTCCAAAGAGAATAAGAATTATGTCCACGTAATTCAAACCGTGTGTATGTGCCCCTCTGTAGAAAGAAAACAAAACACCCTAATTTAAAATAACTCATGGGAAACTAATAACCTGCCTTTGTCATTGCGTTGGGTTTCGCCATGGCCCATTGACGAATCAATTAATTAACTCATTAACTAATAACCTAACTGCCCATCTTACTGTGAAACAGAGTCCTTGAAAGTCTTGACGTCCATTGGTAGGGCAGTCAGATCATCTGGGAGGAAAGCATCTTCATTTTTTTTAAAAAAATATTTTGTTTATTTAAAATATAAAATACAAAAAATAACAACAACCAAGTTAAAGGCGGGAAAGGGAACGGGAAAAGGGGGTGTGGAATACAAGGGGGAAGGAAAAAAGAAAGGAAAGGGGGCATTGACTTCCAACCAAAGGTGAAATCCAGCAGGTTCTGACAGGTTCTGGAGAACCGGTAGCGGAAATTTTGAGCAGTTCAGAGAACCGACAAATGCCACCTCTGGCTGGCCCCAGAGTGGGGTGGGAATGGAGATTTTGCAGTATCCTTCCCCCAGGAGTGGGGAGGGGTTGGGGATTTTGCAGTATCCTTCCCCTGCCACACCCACCAAGCCATGCCCACCAAGCCACACCCACAGAACCGGTAGTAAAAAAAATTGGATTTCACCACTGGTATAAAGCTTTCTTAATCCTTTGTTCTGGGTCCTGGCATTTTCCTGGTCGGGACCCCTTTTGCTAAAGCGCTCGCTTCAATAAAAGGAAACAAAACAGGCACCTCATTTTTGGCATCCTTCATCGGCCTCGGCACCAAGCTCAGACCCAAACGGGAACAAGAGTTTAGTGGATAACAAGAAGAAGATTGGACTAGGGGTGACCTCCAGAGTCTCTTCAAACACTGCAGATATCTATAATTCAAATGCTGTTCAACAAAACTGCTGAACCGCAAAGAGTCGTCATAGGCAACAGAAGCATTAACACCTAGAAATTGGCCACAGGGAAGAAAAACAGCTGAATTTTGTTGGGTCATCAGCTGTTAATCCATATAGACTTTACAGTGTGGCAGTCAGCTCTACCGGGAAAACATGTCACAACTCTTGTCAACGGCTCCCTTTTTTTAGATTTAGCGATTGGAGAAAAGGATTTGGACCAGCATCCACTAAGCTTTTAGTAAGTAAGCTTTTATTGCGGTCAAAGACCAAATTAAAATACACATAGAAGGGGACCAACATCCAGTTCTACAAGAGACCATTTACAGACCTTGTTCCCTTTTCAAAATATTGGAATTTGAGCGATCGTTCCTGTTCCTCTTATACCATCTGCCAATGAATCCATGCAAGATTTCCAGAAAGCTGCCGGACCAAAATTTGAGACTTTGATGTTATTATATATGTCGACGGCAGCAAGATTACTGTATGCACAAAAGTGGGAGGACACTTTAATTCCCACAATGGCTGCCGAAGCTGATGGAGTTAGCAGAGATGGCCAAATCGATTGCTCTGATTAAAGAGGGGAAAAAAACCCCACAATTATTTTTGTTTGTCCTTGGAAACCATTTCTGGACTTTGTGCTCGAGGTGGGGAAAAAAAAACAAAACACCCTGAAACTTTGACTTTGGGTTTTGCCGATTAGATAGGTTTGTTGTTATAGAAATGGCTAGTATATATTATTATATAAAAGTAAAAAGTTGAGGTTTGATGCTATTATCTTATTCCAGTGCACCAAAAGGAGTTTGGAAGTCAATGCTTTTTCGATCTTTTTTCCCTTTCCCCTACACACTTCTCTCTCCCCCTTTTCCTTCCTTATTTTTCCATTGTTTCTTTTGTATTTTATATTGTATATTAATAAGATTATATATACACACCCACACAGAGACAAAAGCTGCTGGACCAATGGACAGAGACGTAAAGGAATGTTGCATGTTCCATGTTGCACAATTGCAAAGGAACACATCGTCGCTTGCAAAAGAGAAAGAAGGAAGACTAAGAAATGAAAAAGCAGCTCATTTACAAACCTCATGTTCTCGCTTTAAGTGGCCTTAATTTCTCCCTGGCATTCTCTCCTTTGATTATTATAACCAATATTTGAAGATGCCATGGGGACTACTTAAAGCAGTTTTTTTCCAGTCTGCGCTGTTATCCCATTACAACTTCAAAAAAAGGGAGGTATGACGCTACTGATTTTTACAAATTGTTTTCTAGACTTTCCTGTTCGTCAAATCCTAATCATTTCTTTGAAGTTTAACAGATTAACAGAGTTGGAAGAGATCTTGTAGGTCATCTAGTCCAACCCCCCCACCCAAGCAGGAGACCCTACACCATTTCTGACAGTTGTCAGTCCACTCTCTTCTTGAAAGCTTCCAGGAATGAAGCTCCCACAACTTCGGAAGGCAACTTCTATTCCATCGGTTGATGGTTCTCACTGCCAGAAAATTTCTCCTTATTTCCAGGTTGAATCACTCCTTGATTAGTTTCCATCCATTCTTTCTTGTCCTACCCTCAGGTGCTTTGGAAAATAGCTTGACCCCCTCCGCTCTGTAGCAGCCCCTCAAATATATTGGAAGATGGCTATCATGTCTCCCTTGATCCTTCTCTTCACTAGACTAGCCAGGCCTGGTTCTTGCAAGTGTTCATTGTATGTTTTAGCCTCCAGTCCCCTCATCATCATGGTTGCTCTTCTCTCACTCTTTCTGGAGTCTCAGCATCTTTTTATAGTGTGGTGACCAAAACTGAATGCAGGATTCTAGGTGTGGTATTCCTTCCTTCCTTCCTTCCTTCCTTCCTTCCTTCCTTCCTTCCTTCCTAAGTCCCATGAGTGGCTTAGGCCCCTGCTTTAAAATTTTGCCTGTTTTTAAAACATTGCCTCGATTTTTCTTCCTGTTTTATCAGTTGCAAAGCAGCGGATGGGAAAATGGAGAAGTTTTTGTTCAGCCATAAAAACTTCAGACTGGCAAGGGGGGGTGGGTTGCAATTGGAGCTGCACCCTCCTATCTCTCTCCCTCCTTCTCCTTCTCCTTCTCCTTCTCCTTCTCCTTCTCCTTCTCCTTCTCCTATTTCTATTTCTTCTTCTACTCCTCCTTCTCCACCTTCCCCTCCTCCTCTTCCTCTCCTCCTTCTCCTTCTCCTTCTCCTTCTCCTTCTATTTCTATTTCTTCTTTTCCTCCTTCTCCTTCTCCCCTTTCCCCTCCTCCTCCTC